CCCTACAGAAACAAGGCTGTAGATATAGAATCATGCCTAAATTAGATGCTTTCCAGCTCAGAAAGCCAGGCTGCACTTAATGACTGCCTAAATAGCTGTGGTAAGGACTTGGAATTCTCCCCTCCCTGCCTCTCCTAGCACTGTGTACCTGCATAATGCTCTGATAAGGAAGATAAGCATCTTCTAATGGTTCCTACTTGGGAGGTTTGAGCTACCAGTGTCACTCAGCAATGGGAGCAGGGGGAGGCACCTGTAGCACACGGTTGTGCCAGGTGAACTGATGGGGTGAACTCATTCCAGGAAAATGCCAGAGGATGGACTCCATCCAGTTCTTCCCTTAGCCCCAGTTAATTAATTTGAATATGAAAGCTTGCAAAGGAATGCAAATTTATCTCTCTAACTCAAAACTTCTGCAAAAGGCAGTTTTGACACCCTTCTCTTTTGGCTTCTGCCTCTGCCTGGAAGAAAATGTTCATACTCCTTTCTTAAGGGCCCTTTGAAATAGGCTTTTAAGACAGACAAGCAGTTTTTTTACTGCTACTGGATATTGTCTCCTCTTTGCTTATATTCCACTTTTCTAGCAGCCTGTAGCATTCAGAAGCAGAAAATGTTCACACCAAAAGTTACAGTGGATTTAATGGGCCTTGTGTGCCTATACCTGCTATAAGAGCTGCTCTAGCTCCTAGGTATCAGTTCGGGTGAGTTTGGGCATTATTTACTTGAAAAAAAGTCATTGCTAAAAGGTCCAATGCCTGAATCTGCAACAGGCTTTGTCTTAGGCCCTCTTAATCTCTGCAAGCTTTATGCACTGCAGAAGCTAATCCTGGACCATATAAATAAAGCTATATATTCACCAATGATTTACAATTGATTGGGAAGTTATGTTCCTGTACATTTCCAGAGAAACAAACAAATCCTGACAGCTTCAATTAAGAGATAAACTGCTGTCTAAAGAACAGCAGGGAGTGAACAAAATATAACATTCTCACTTTGTTCTAAAAAAAAAGGCACAAAAACTCCTTCTGAAAACAAACCCCAAACCCAAGCACCTTTATATTGCAGAAAGGTGGCTTTTTCCTGACATTGAGTACTATAGCAAATGAAGCAGAACACTGGCCATTTACCTGATTCTAGCCAGCACATGCCTTGGTGTCATTTTTCAGCACCTGAACTGAGCTGAGAGACTTCAGGTAAGTAGCCCTGTACAAACCAGGGAGTTGAGGCTGATGAAAACTCCACTTGGTGATTTTTTTATAGGAGACCTGCTATGCAGATTTTTTCCCACTTGATACTAGGTCTGTGGAGGAAAGAAAAAACTTTAAAAGCCCAATCTAAATTCAGCTGCAGGAGGTATCTTTTAATTGCACTTTGGATCAATAGAGAAGCAACCTAACACTTGCTCTTGGTTACTAGGCAGGGACTTGTACTTTTCCAGACTGCCTTTCATATGTTCCCTTTTCCTTATTTGCTCACACAATCTGGATTCTCCACAGTTTAAGTGCAGAACAAAGCATTCATATCACTAGAGTGCATACCAAATTACATATCTATGCCACCAATTTTGGTACCTTATCAGCAGCAACAGCATGTTCAGTAAGTAGTCCCAACATTTAAGTAGTTTAAAGTATTAGAAAAGTGTTAAAAATAGCAGTCTCAAATCCTTATAGCCTGTACTGAAGTGATAGGCATACAAGTACTTAAAGGGTGTCAAATAGCATTTTATTTCATTTCCCAGCTGTATAAAATTAAGAGCAGGCCAAAAGGTAGACAGATATTAACAAAGCTCCATCCAGAACTCTGCTTCAAGCAAAGAAAATGTGTTATTGTAGCCCTCTTGTGTTCAGTTGGATTTACAGCTTTTAGATCCACAGCACCCTTCCTCACCACCCCTGAAATCATGGCTCTGCATGCTTTAACCACACTGCCAGCCAGCTCTTTGCCCTATACACCTTCCCTCAGTTTCTTTCATGTTTTTCCTCTTTCCATCCTGGCTGTAAAATCAGACCATGCTCCTGAAACAGCAGAGCGTTCGGCTGGTATATTCACAACATAAAACAAGAGAACTGCTGTTGTGGAGTAGGAGGACCAGGACATCCCTCATTGCCTGTGAGCATGCTTATATTCCCAGCAGTTCTCCTCCATAAAGGGACTGTAATGAACAAAATTCACAGCCTTATTTCTCTCTTTTAGTTAATGCCTGTGAGATTAAGTTTTAAACTGAGTGTCCCACAGACACCACTTAGACATGTGCAATTCTCTACCCTCATAAAAATCACTCTGATGTTCTACAAAACCTGTAAGTACTATTGACTGTCCTGTTTATTCCAGACCTTCGCTACCCATCACCATGATTAAAAAAATCTGTTGTCTGCCACTCAACTGGGGCACTGCACAGAGCTGCAGGAGGCAGTGGCTTTTACAGTATTCTTTTCCAACATGCAAAGGCTGTAGCAAACAGATGATCAAGTTATGACTGCACTGCTATGGGTGCTTTATGGGATGGAGTCTGGTAACTGAGGGTAAGGTAACAGGCTGTTTCCTAAACAACGCTCACCTTCCGTGTCTGCTGCCTCGGTCATCCCTTATTCAGCCACTGCCAGACCAGCTCACTCTTATAGATCAGGAGGCCCAGGTCAGCAGGTCACTTGTACTTCAAGAGCTGCTATCACCTGTCTCAAGGAGCCAAACTCCAACATGGATGTGCTGCGGTGGAGGAAACCAGAGGAGGAGCCATAAACTATGAGAGAAAGAAGGAGAAATGAATGAGAACAGAGAAAAGACAAAGGACAGCACTAGAACAGAAAAACTGCTGTGACTTAGCAGCAATGCCATCAAGAAGTATTGGCAAGCAGTGCCCTCTCTTGATCAGCAACATAGGGGTGGCACTTCAGCTCACAAGAACTTGAGTTTTGACAGATACATGCATGTAGATTTTGAGAGCAGCTGAAAGCATAAGGAAAACAGGCTTCAGAAAAAAGAATTAATATAGATAGTAAGAGGCATGGTATCTTTACTTGACAGCTATAGTACCAAAGCTAGGAGCAAGTTAAACCCTATTTTGTGTCTTTTCTATAAACAAGCTAAAGAGGAGAAAAGCATGTACCTCCACAAGCCATATCTTTGTGATAAAAAGCAATTTAGGAATGAATGTACCAAATATTCTGCAGACGAGCCAGTCAATCTGACCAAAATTAATATAATACATCAAGAGGAATTAAAAGAATATGCTTCTACTTCTCTGTGTGAGCACAGATTATATACTAAAACTGGTGAGAGACCCTGGGTACACGAGTTGGACAGCAATTAGTTACGGCAACTCTGAGCTGCCTGTATGTCGGGGGGCAAAAGATTCCTGTATAGAAGCAGAAAGCAAAGTTTCTAATGACCCCATATATTTCAGTTTATTCTTTGATAAAATAGTTTATATTTAATTTAATGAAAAAATTGTATAGATTTTTTTACTATTCTCTTGATGCTTTCTTCCATTGCTGAGGTGATAAAACCTACGACACTGTCTTTGAATCTGTTCAACAATTAGCTTTTATGGGAGTTTAGGAGACCACATGGCTCCCTAGAGCCCATGCCCTTACTTCATCCACAGGGACAAAAAATTTTGTAGGATCACTTGATAGCAGTCACTTAAAGAGATCCTTGAGAAGACTTGCCTTAGGAGAACGAGAGAGGCAGAGAAAACCTTCAAAGGCCACATTGCAACTCACTGTAAGATGGTTAGTTGATGACAAAACAAGTGTTTTAAATGTTAGGCTGGCAGAATTCATCATTTTCTGTAGTTTGATCATGGCATTTCACTGTAAGCCAGGCCATTCAGTACTGAGGACTTTGTCTATAGAGATAAAGCTTAGACAGCTTTCCTTCTGAAGTATATAGTAGTAACTCTGATCAACAAAAAATCTGTCCCTTTCCTTCATCTAGCATATGAAATCTCTTCAACGAGTAAGGTCAACACCACAAAAAGAACCCTCAGTTACTAAAAGGTGGCAAAGAGTTATCTGAAATTTAAATGAAGTTTTCAACATAAGGAACGTGAAAAGTGATCAACTATGCATTCTTAGTTAGAAACCAATACATGTATTTTCATGCTTTCACTACAAGTGATTTGCAGTTCTCCAACATTTTGAAATTTAACTAGAGTTCATATGCCTTATCTAAAACATAAGATGGTCTACACAGACATCTAAATAGGCTTTTCTGACTACAGATCAGTAACAGCTTGATTTTTTCCAGTCAGTCTTTGTTGGAACTCAAAAACATGGCGTTTTGCCTTGAGAAAGGTAAGAAGCTTAAGCTGATTAAAATGAGACGTGTCTTTAAAAAAAAAAAAAAAGACATTATTATATACTACACAGGCTCCTCAGCCACCCTTCAAAGGTGCCAAGTTTGTGAAACTCTTTCAGATTCCCTCTATGGCTCCTAAATACCCTAAGAAAGCAGTGAGCTACAAAGCCAGCCAATGCTGTATTTGAGCCTGTGAAGGCTGAGAGCAGCTGTGAGGGATAAGGATTGTTCCCAGCTTATCTCCATCTTTTCTCTGTGAGAAAGTATGAGACAAGTGTAACCACCTCCTGTGGCTGCAGTTTGTGTCCTCTGTATGTATCATATTGTAGACTCTGCTCACCCCATTAAAATTAACATTTCTTTAATACCTTAGACAGGTCCAAGGGATCTCAGGAAAGAGGTTAATCCTCTGATACTCTGTAGATAACCAGAGAAGAGGTCTACCTGAGCTGGCAAACAGAACACAGGATAAGGTTATACATCCCTAACTGGGACCATGCAGCAGTTGTTGTCTCTCAGTGCACTAGTTCATCATGGGCCTTTAACTTGCTGCAGCTCATTCAGCTCCAATGCAACACACCTGACAAGCTCTCCCATCAACCCAGATTTTGGACATGGGTCACATAAAAGAGGAGCCAGAGCATACAATGGGGGTTGTACCTTCACAGGATGGAAGAAAAAATGGATCATCCAAATAGACTAAGTGAATATCAAGAAATATTTTATTGTACATGTAATCAAAGTTTAAAAAACAGACAAGAAGGAGCAAAGGACAGAATTATCTAGCATCTCTTATCTATGCAGGGTACAGAAATACAACTAGTAAAGAATTAGCACATATTAGTACCCTTTGCTCCCCTTCCCTGCTCCAGTGGAGGAGGTTACACAAGCGAGATGAGTAATGCTTCAAATCAAGGCTTCTCGGTAATTGCACACTTGAGCTAACAGAGTTGAATATGTTCAGTTTCAGGAGAGAGTGTGTGCCTTCAAAACAGTTGTTTATAAACAAAACCATTCTCTTTTTAGTGGTTTGTAAACACTACTCATTCAACACCAAGAGTATACTTAAAAGGCTAATGATTTAGTGGCCATATTTGTCTTGTTATATCTGAACTGACACTATCTTTAAGTATATCAATTATAGAAAATAGATTCCTTAGGCGGTAGAGAATATATTATCTAGTGGCAAAAACGTAAAGAAGCAAAGGAAGTATTCACAGGGAAGGGAAGGGAAGGGGGAGCTGCATACTGAGCAAGGGGTACCTTGACTAATCAGAACTAAAAAAGCTGAAGCTCTGGAGTACTAGCTGCAAAGGAGTTACACCTCAGTGTCATTGGTGTAAATTTCAGAATGTCTGGTTTGAAAAATGTTACTCAATCCCCAAGTTTAATTCATGCCCTGGATCCTCTTTACCTACCACAGTAGGATTTTTAACAGTTCTAGCACTATAACTCAAGTTCTGCCTTACATGCTGCAAGGAAGAAGGCTTCCATTCTCCTCCAGAGTCAGATAGGAACAAGTCTGAAAGTGAATGCAGAGCATTATCAGGACTTATTCACCCTTACAACCACTCAGTTTCCTTCCTAATCTAGAAGGGTGAAGGCCTTCAAAGCAGAAAGTTGCAACTGCTTTTCCAGTACAAGCTGATTTTCTCTCAACAGCTTAGAAATAAACCTTCCCAAAAAACCTAAGCTATACAGCATGTAGCAAGAGCTGAATCAAATCAGTGTGACAAGTGCTAAATCCTGAATGAAGGCAAGACAAGTTTTGGGATTCCCACAAAAGATGGATTTGTTTATTCTTCAGTGGCCCAATAAGGCTAGCAAATAAAAACTCTTCACAAAACTTCCAGAGAAGGCCCATGGAAAGGCAGAAAAAGTAACAGTAACTAGCATATTCTGGATTCTAATGCCCTTTGGAGACTATCAGATTTTTGGCTTAAAGTGAATTATGACATATTAACGATCTTAAATCTACTTCAGCCTACAGCATGGTCCAATGCAGATTATTAGTGTCAAGTTGCACACCTAGGACTTGAATTCACTAACACTCATAGCACCACTTGATTGTTGCTGTAAATAAAGACAGTCTAACCCTTAACTCTTCTGCCAGAAAGAGCCTATTACCTTTGATAATTGTGCAACACTACCTATTCCAGGCCAGCTGACCTACCCACATTTTCTGTCCTCACACATATGCATCTGTTTTGAGACAAATCTAAACAGCTCCAAGACTAAACTCTGTGACATATTACCTCAGGTTTCAAAGTTACAAAATAAATTCTCTTTACAGAGTATAAATGCAGAGATTCACTCAACTGTCAGACCAGCTAACTGACAATATCTCACTAGTTATTTCCTGTATGTGCCAACTGCACAGTCATAAAAGCCTCCCAGCTCTTCTTCATACTTCTCAGGTTTGAAACAGGAAAGGATCAATATAGATATCTCAGGATTAACAGACCTAGGAGCAGGGAAAAAAAGCAGCTGTTCTGTACTTCAGTAATTATTGCTCAGTATTTATCTGTTTTAAGCAACACCAAGACAGTATTTGAATTTATGCTGCACTTGAGCAGAGACAGGTTCCCTAACAGTAAAGAAACAACAGCCTTTCCACAGGAAAAAATTTCTAAAATTTAGCTGGCTGTTTTTTCTTAGCCATTACCTTTAACAAGGCAGATTTGTTTAGGCTCCCATTTCTAACAGCATTATAGAGTTGTCAAAGTATATAGTTGATACCTACGGCCTCTCTTTAGAGTAGCTGGGCTGCACATGTTCACAAGAACTACAGAAGTTTATTAGCTATGCTAAAAGACTACAGAAAGAGCCCAGGACTGTTTGAAGACTCACCAGCTACAGAACAGCTGTCCCACAAAAGTGATTTCACTAACAACTGAACTCGAAGACAAACACTACAAGAAAGCCAATACAGGAAATCTTGTGTGATCAAAAGGTTCTCTTACAATCTCATCTGAAGGAAGCTACCCGCCACTTTGAAGTATCTCCTCCTTCCATAGGAATAACCAACATACCTTTTGGAGGCAGTTTAGACAAGTGACTGCTCAAAAGTATTTTGACAGAACTGCTTTTTGGAAGAGAGAATAAGTTATTTTACTATTTGCACAAATTGAATTTACTACACTCATTTTACTCTGATAATGTTTTAGCTACAAGGTATCTATACAAGATATATCAGCAGAGATAGCACATTGTTAACACTACATATGTAAACTGAGAAACAACAGGTCCTTCCATCGAGGTGTCATATTGCAGGTAAGCCATTTCATGTTAGTCCGAGAGGCTGCGAAACCGCACTTCGGCACCAAGGAGATTCCTGGTGAGCCCAACAGAAAAGCCGTGCTCTACAAAGGTGACTGTCCATCCTGGAACAGCAGCAGGAGAAGAATCAAGCAACCAGTGTTGGTGGTAGTATTCTCGAGGAGGATTCCATTCGTTCGGTGCGTATTGCTGTACATAAGGTGCATAAACCTGCCACGGACGAGATCAGCGGGAAGAGAAGCCCGTTGCAAGGCTGCAGCCAACTACTGGTGTCATGTCCCAGATCTGGAAGAGAATATTGTGGAGAATTATACAGCATTGTAAGACCTAACAGGGCTTTCTGTAAGAGGCATAGAAGCAAACAAAGATGTCCCTGGACGTAACAAATCCTGATAAACTATACTTGAGGAAAATGCCATAAAGAGTTATACCAGCCTTACAAACCAAAAGCCAAACTTGGGGGTCAAGAGAGTCTTCTTGCACTTCTTTGTAGGCCTGTTTTAAGAAGTGCTATGCAGTTTGCTACAAACATGCTTACACAGAAACAAGGACAGACTGGGACAGTCTCAGTTCTGATATCCATGGCAGACGTTGAGCTTAATCACACCAAGATTCTATATCAATCTGAGCTCGTCTCGTAACAAGGGTTTTTAGTGGCCATGCTCCAAGCCATGGAGCTCAGAGTAAAGGCACCTGCACATTTCATCAGGTCTCTGTCTTTAAGGCTGCTGGCAGATTCTCCTGCCTGCTTTGTTCATCTAGAGACACAACAGTAATGAGTTCCAAGAGCTACGCTCCATACAGGGGAGTTACAGGTCAATTTGTCATTCAGCTGCAGGAAGAACAGCCTGACATAAATACAGTTCTTGCTGCCCACAACAGATAGTTTTGTAACAAGAGCTGTCAGAAAGAAAAAAGAATATACAAAAATTAACTCTCTATTAAATATCTCTAAGAAATGCAGGAATACCTTCACAATCCGGTCGCTCCCACAGGTCACCATTAGCCCTCTGGAGATGTCCATGGACATGTGTGAAATGTTGTGTTTTCCTTCATGAAAGGTTGCCAAGGAAGTACGGCTGCACAGGAACGATTGGAATGAAAGCCAATCATCAGATGAAGCTTCATGGCATCATTATAGCAGTGCAAAATAAACTTAAAAGAAAACTAAGTTGCTCAAGTACTAATAAATCAATCCTGGGAGCTGCAGTGCCATATTAAAGGGGACAGAATTAAATTAGCAAGTCATGGTAAGGCACTGCCTGTGTAGGTGTGACATTTCCTGGCCTTCTGCAGCCTGTTAATAATACTAGAGCAGAAGTGGGACACTGCATTAGCAAATACTCCTACTCTTGGTTAATAAAGTCAAGTTCAGCTACATTTTTTCCTGCTGGCTACAGTGAGCCAACCAGGGCACAGCACCTCACTTTTCCAAAAAAAAACCCAAACAAAAAGCCACAACAACCAAAAAAACCAACAACACCACAAAACAAAAAACCCCAAACGCCCTTAAAATTGTCACATCTGATTACTCTGTTCATATCAAGATAAAAAGGCGTTTCTTCATTGCTAAGACAAGTTTAGCAAATGACAAGACAGCAAATGGTGTTTAACCCGATTTGTTTGCATGGGGAAAATAATGTTGGGCTGTGAAGAATATTAGTATTAGTAGAAATAGTATTCAACAGTAGAAATAGTATCCAATAAGGGTACATGACCTAATGCATATACATCCTGGCAGCTTTGATGCATTGTCAGGCAGCCATTTAGCAATTTTAAGTACAATCAATAGCTTTTAACTGAACAGAAATCTTGAGACAAATATGTTTCAAGTCTACATCTAGGCTCACAGAGAGGAAGAAACAAAGTTGACAGAAAAGCTGTAATACCACACCTGATCCAAATGAGCATGCAGAGCCAGTTGGGGGATCTCTGCCACCACAGTGCTCTGAGTGCCCAAGGCAAAGGTGGCCTATTAGCAGAGAGTCAGCTTGGTGTGTTTTGTAGCACTGTGTGTGGATGTGGACCAAGCACAAGTGTTTCTGCACCCCAGCAGTACTACCTCAGTTTATTAGTCCTTAATACTCACTCTTCATCCTTGATGGACTCAAAACAGGAATCACAGACACGGACCTGGAACTCAAATCCCATGATTGGGTAACTGGACCGTTTGGTACTGCACTTGCCACACACTGCTTGCCCACATTTTCTGCAATGATGCTTCATGGAGGAAGAAGAAAGCAAAAAAATAAATCATTATACTGTGTCCCTTGACCACCTTTACCAAGTGTTCAGTGAACAACAACAAAGCTTCTGTTTTGCAACCTGTTAGAAAGCAACCTGTTAGGAAATGCTCTGTTACTTCAACCAAAGACCAAGGACTCTCAAGTTCTGAACAGTCACCTGGGCCATTAATGGTTTTATCTCCATATTCTCTGTGTACATCCTCTTCTCCTTCTGCAAGCCTCTTCTGGGAGAAGGGGAAAAAGTGGACTGAACAAGCAACTAAGGAAATAACAGTCTAAGAAAGCCAAAACTAGATGAATGTCTTGGTGCCTGTGCAGCCCCTCCATAAAAAGGGCTATCTGGAATGCTTTCACATTGTCACGCAGTAAAAGCAGGGCCATTACTGCTTCCTTGAAGTGAGCACCTACAACATGTTAGGCTGCACTTTGCTCAGTTATGGGGCACTGTTTGCCACTTTACACAACACTTGAGGATTAGCAAAGCTCCAATGCACAGAAATATCCAGAGAAATCCAACAGAACACTCCTAGCACAGCCTGCTTTGACCTGTGACAGAAGTTTGGTGCAACACTTTCCACAGAACTTGGAAATGTCTTAGCGCTGCCCAGAAGCCATAACCTCTCAATAAACCCTCACTTCAAAGCAGCAAAAATATCAACAGTTGAAAAGATCTAATGGCTTTATCAGTTTTCTGCTTACATTTTGCTTAAGTGCTGAATTATAACTAAGCACTCAAACCAGCCATCTCACCTGTCTCAGCCCTATCGTCTTTGTGTCCCACATTTGCTTTATATTCCAGAAGAAAGGCTGTTCACACTTCTGACAGGAATCACTTTCCAGCCATTGAGGAGCCTACAAAAGAGCAGAGATGCAAGCAATCAGAATTGTTTTCCCTCATACAACAGCCAAGGAAGTTTGTTTTAAGAAAAAGTAAAGTTTTACTTGGAAAGATGCCCTGGCTCAGTTCTGAACATTACAACAATAGATTGCCTAGGGTATAGTACAGAGGAAGTTTAGTAGAAAAACCCTGAATCCAAGACTACAGTTATTTGTTACCTACACACCCCCTACACTTTTTAAGCCTACAGCAATATCTTATGTTCCTGCCTCAATAAAAAAACCTCATTCAAACATCTAAGTTATTAAACTTGCTGCAGGCATTCCAAGACTGCTGCTCTGATTGCCTAGATGATTTTTAAGGACTAGTGTAATTCAAGCTGTAGAAGCTATGAGGCAGTTATCCCCTCTAAGAAGGGGGGTATCCAGAAGTAAATTCTGCATAACTATACTTTCTGCTTTCCTAGGATTGCAGTTCGAAATAATTAAGAACTCCTTTGCATTTTCCATCCTGCCCACATCTTCATTAAGCAACCCTTCTCCCACTCACATACTTTTCCTGCCATAAATGGACTAGGCCAAATGAAAACAGAGCTTTCACACATCTCAACTCTCTCAGATCTTTAACTGAGCATCCTTGTAAGGGATAGAAAGAGGCACAATATTTTTAGTACATAGACTTGAATTAGAACATGTATATTCTATACAACTTTATAGACCTCATGAGCAATTCTCCTTGAGACTCGACAGGAGGAAAGCTGGAACAACAAAGCATTTTTTCTCCTTAATTCACATACATTCATCACTGACAGTAAGAAAACAAGAATATTCTCAGTTGCACCACCATGTCACCATGAACATTTATTGATTCCAGATGTCCAGTTCCTAAATCTTCAACCTCAATTGTATTCTCTTCCTTCCCCCAAACAGTGGAAAATACTGTAAAGGGTAGTAACAAGTCCAGTGTGGGGGTGGGAGGGAGAGTAGAGGAAATGAGTTGCCTCTCCATCACATGAGATATTCCATATTGCTTCTTTGGGTTACTTAGAATAGTAGTTTTCACTTAAAAGCATTTTTGGGAAGACAATCCCCTTTCTGGCTCCCTCTAGTAGAAAAACAGGATATCCTCCAATTCTTTTCATCTTAATTTCACACATTAAACAGAAGATAAAACTTGCCAACGCTACCAACACTATTACCAACATACAGTTGGAACTGCTCAAGAGCAATAATACAGCTGTCAGTGGAGTTACCATTCCTTCTAATCAAAAAAGTCTGTTTTCTAGTCTTCTGTGCATTAGTGCATATTTGAAGGTACCCCTGTAACACGACTCACTAACTAATGCTTCAGAGGCAGTATGTTCATCATTTGTCAAACATTGGGTTTCTTTGCTTTCGGATTGGGCTTGATTATGTTTTTCCAACAAGTTCTGATACATCACAGCTGTTCTATCTTAACTGCATTATTTTAGCTGCATTAAAACTGTCTATTATTTAGAAGATCCCTTTATTGTGTGCAGGTCCAGAAGAGAAATGGCCACATCTTGTTTTCTCAATTGTATCATAAGTCAACTCCTTTCATCTACAAAGGTTCATAACATTACAGAAGTTTTGAAGAGAGATCATCATGCTGAAAATGTCAGGAGCATCACATACAGCATTCAGTGTGTTTAAGGTGACAGCTCAACACATCAAAAACCAGTTCTTAATCATGACACTTGCATTTAAGAAAAAGCAACAGGACAAGAAAGGCTGAGCCTTAAATACTGCTTTATGGGAGTAACCAAAACTACCTCCTATAATTATGGTTTAACCACAGAGAGTAGTAATATATATCTTTTCAGTTCCTGTGATGGGTATGAACTGATGCAGAACCTTGCCGTGCATGGCAAGGTCAGTTGCTGCGTACTAAGATCTTCAAAAAAAGCACTGCCTAGGGGCTGAACCTCTGCCTTCTGAACTGCATCTCAAAACCTGCATCTCACTTCTTTACCTGCTTTGACACGAGTTGAGAACTTATTTCAAGACTGTTGAAGCACAGTCCATTTTTTACTGCAGAAGATTGCCTGCTTTAGATTGTTCTAGCAGCAAGGGCCACAGCCATTCCAGTGAACATGCTGTCTCACTGACATAAGACTCTAAGTAGACCCAAGTGTGTCCTGCACTTCTCCTGTCCTGGGAGTCCATTTACTACAATGCAGCATGGACAGCCACTAGAACAGAACAGGTTTCAATAATACCACTGAATCTTAAAGTGTCAGACAATGTGAGGAAAGCAGCCTGCAGAACTGACTAAGTAAAGTCACATCAGTCTCTGAAGGGGGGGAAAATAAAATAGTTTCTTGACCTAGGACATGAATTTACCTCTTCTCGGCTGATATCCATGTTCCAAACAGCAATTCCTCCATCAGCTGAACAAGACACCAGCTGCCGTGTCAGCTGGAGGTAACAGATAGCCTGCACCTTGTCACTGAAAACAAAGTAGACACTATTTAACCAAAGGTATTTAAACAAAGCTTAGTTTCCCAGCAAACCCTGATTTATCCTTGTAAAGCTATCTAGGACGGCAAAACTGGTTTCCAAACAGTTTGCTAAGTCTGCTGAGTAGAGTTATGAGGATGACTGGACAGGTGCTGAGTGTCAACTGGCTCCAAATGTGTGTGCAAATACTCTTCTATGTTGGCAAGGAAAGCCAAGTTATCAAAACAGAGACAACTGGAGAAATAAAGAGAAATATTTGTTTTAAGATGCAGCTAAGAAGCAGACAGAGCTTCTTTCCACTTTTGCTAGCAAATCACAGTCAGTCTGTAGCTGCAAAGCAAAGCATGCATTTACCAGTAAGACAATTTAATCCTAAATAAAGTCATGGCAAAATAAAAGTCTACCCTAAGAAACTAAACAAAGGATCTCAATAGTATTAAACTGCTTTGCAACATCTAAGTTGAATTAAAAAAGTCATTCTGCTTCTCAGTAGAACTTCATTTCCCATTCAGTGTAAAGTTTGATGCTAAGTGTGATGTTTGAAGAGAAACTTAACTGTTATAAGTCTTCACCAGGACAAAGGAGGGAGCACTAATAGCAGTCCTCCAGCTACTGACTTCAGTTACTTTTTTTGTAAACAGTATTAATTCTTTAGCCATAAAACTAAATCCTCAATATTTAACAAGAGTTCTAGGGCTAAGGCTATCAGTCTTGATCAAAGGTGGATGGAGGCATCTATGAATTAGACATGAGGAGAATGCGCTATACAAAGACATCTTTAAACACAAACAAGATCTCTACCACCAGTGCATTTCTAAGTAGAATGTATCTTTAGTGGTGAATTGCCTGTCAGACTGAGTTAGAGCCCTACATTTAAAAATGGCAGCTAGTGTTGGGTCTCTGTAAAAATCAAGGGTTGATTAAATACAGCAGCTAACTATCTCATCTGCAGAACAGGGGAGATGTGACACACTGTCTGAAGTTGAGAGACCACCCCTGTAATTTAGCCAATCAGTTTATCACCTCACTGATAGAAAGAGACAGAGAACAGGAACATACTGAAGCTTATTCTAGTCGGGTACACGAACATGCTTATACATTAAGGTTCTAGACCTACCCTCACAGGTAATTCAGTGCAGTATTTACAATACAGACACATCCAATTTTTACATAAAAGACAAACCAGGTGATTTAGGATTTTTATCCACCTCTTTCTATAAACTACTTCTATATTACTTCTAGACTATAGTAATAAGAACATATCAAACACGAGCAAGAAAAAAGATTTATCAGTAATGCTTTCCTAGTAGTGATTATCCTTCTTCCCTCAAAGTCCTCAGGGTTCTGCAAAAAGATATTTTCTCCATTATTCACAAAGATTCGAATATCTACTTAGTCCTCCTGGGACTCTGTGTTCATTACTGAACATGTAGGAAAAATAAGGCACCATTACATACTGATGTCCCTGGAGCAGCAGCGTTCGCCCCTTCCTTCCGCCAATATCCCACATGATGATGCTGTGATCAGAGGCACCTGAGAAGAGCAGTCGCTGAACAGGATCCCACCACAGGGAAGTAATACTCCCTAGGAAAGAACATTCTGCAGTTAGATGTAAGGGACTGACTCCCCAGCACAATGATGCCCTTCTCGAGCACTAAAGTGAAACCTTATTCCGGTAACATATTGAAAGCCTTAAGGCAAAGGACAACATTCAGTAGCAAGATACAGTCCTGGTGGAGAGGGGAAAGAGCACTGGATAACAGAACAGAATGTCCCTAAGAAGACAGATAAAGCATAAACCAGAAAGTTTGAGTTATGAGCCTTCTGCCCCTTATATTTAGGTAGGTGGTTTTAAGAGTTGCCAGGCTGCTTTGTAAGCTTTGGAAGATGAAAAGTATGAACACTCGCCAAGCAGAGACTAGTATCTACAACTCAGCAAGGTGCTTGGTCAGTGGTTGCAGGACAGCATGCAGTGTTCACAGGTAAACCAACTCCCTTACATAAATATTTACAACCTTAAAATAGTTGGAATAAGAAACAAAGTCACAGTTTCGCTGCTGTTAGCAAATCTGCCACCACTTACTAAATTACAAACTAAATTTCAGAAGGCCCAGCCTGGCTATGCATTACACTAGTCAGGGAAAGAAATGAGTCATCTGACATTAGCAGCTTTATATTAAACTCATGTGCATGGTAATGTAGCCAGGAGACTAAAGGAGTAATTTTGTCACTTATGCCACCTATACTTGTGAAGTTGGGATATTTTATTCCTTTGCAGAGATCCTTCCCTTTAAAGCATCCTTCCACTGTTCAGTTGTCATCAAAAGCCTTGTTAGTCTGAAAGCAAGATGAATGGTAATTAGAACCCAAATCAGTCCATTTCAGTGCTCTGGAGCAAGAGATTTTTTTTAGCCGCCTTTAGGGCTGCACTGTTTTCAGACTGATCCATTGGGAATAGCATTTGCACCACAAAAGGCAGTAGTTTGAGTATTATCTCAGCATTACACAAAGTAAGCTGTAAAATATGGTGAATTCTGGAAGCTAACCTGAAGAACAAACTCTAAAACCATTTAAACTGCAAAGCAAACACTGCTTGCTTATGAAGTCCCATCTAGCAAGAGCTAGAAAGGAAACAAGATGAAATCAGACTTTTGAAGTCTGTCAAACACAGGTGCACTCAGAGAAGAACTAGATGCCATTTAAGTTCAGGGTTACTAGATCTTGAGAATATTACACAAATACTGTAATACTGTGGAGGAAAAAAAGTTACACATAATCTGATTTACTAAAAAAAAAAAAGGAAAAAAGATGAAGTAGCTAGTATTATACCAATTGAAGAGAAACCTGTTTCTGCCCCTCAAATTTAATCATCTTTTATTCTAGATCAATTCTTGTTTTACGGGTCACAATCCCCATATGGAAGTACATAAGCCAAAGTTGTCTGCTGTGCAGACACTATTGCTGAAGTTGGTGCTTGGAAGTCCATCACAACCCAATGGGTAGAACCTACACTTATAAGAACTGCTAAGGACACATACTGCTTTCAGACTAACAGGAACATCTGCCAAGGAGTTGCATTTGAACAGACTAGTGCAAAAGAATAGAGAGGTAAAGGAGTCTCTAGGGCCAAGAGAATTATTTTGCTTTTAACTGAAACAATCTGGAATTCTGCTTGAAAGCAGAAGAGACATTTATCACTTGAAAATCTCAACCTGCCTCTTGCATTCCAAACCAGCTTAATCACTTCAGTCATCTGTAAATCAGGAGTCTCCTCAGCTTTAACAAAGCCTACTCTATACTTACAGCTGTTAAACAAGGCAGCCTTTTCCAGTGGGTCAGAGACTCATGACCCAGTAGTTCAACCCTACCCAAATGCAAACTAGTCAACTGATTTGAAAGTTGGCAGTACCACATGGGAAAAGGCACTGTCTTATTTATTTTTCTCAGCATATAATTAAGTCACACATTCTTCTGTGATTTGCATTCTTGCCACTCATTACAGCAGACAGTGGCTCTATATCATGTTACAGACCATTTGGTTCTTCATTTGATACAAGGACTAGAACTATACTATACAGGATGAGACATTTGCCTTTGACTTGGCATTTTTGTTTCTAAAAGGCTCTCTAGATTTCTTGCTTATAGCTTAGGTTCAGCTAAACACAGGAAATTGAACTAGAACATAAAGACTGATCAGAACAGCAAGGTTTGCATAGAGAAGAATTAAGTGGTATTTTAGAATCTAGACTGGAGGTTGTTAAAGCTGCTTTAGGTATTATCATATTACAAGGTCTCCTAAAAAAAGAGAAAAGCCCCACAAAGTAACACATTTTCATCCTTTCTCTTCTAAGTTAAGGAGACTAAAGCTTTTAAAGGTGGCCATCTAGTGGATAACTTGTGTTTAACTGAATGCATATATTTACCTTTATTTTTCATCTATAATAAAAATACCTGTCCAGATTTATTAGGCTAAGATTTCCCCTCAGCAAGAATATGTGTGTGTTCTTTAGCAGACAGTCACATGTACAGCTTACGGTTACTACTACCCTGGACTGGTTTTTTATCCCAAATCTATCCTTAAGAGCTAGATATGCAACTGAACGTCTCACCCCAGTTTACAACGAGGTATTACATCTGGGACAAGTGGATTTAAGCAAAGAGTTACTTTACCTTCGTGCCCTTTGAGGGTTGTGATAACTGAGCACGTATTCTGCTCAAGCTTCAGAAGAGTGATCTGTCCAGAATAATCACCAACAAATGCATGCTGAGTTTCATGATCATATCTGAACAGCAGTCAAGGAGTATTTTACATGACAAATAGTCAGCTATAGCACAAAAAAAAAAAAATCAGAAAAGGACATTTTAATATGCCAGATAAATATTTACATAAATACTTCTAAAGGGGTTGGAGACTGTAATAAACCTTTCTGATTCTTCTGATTCCTCTCTTCTCATCACACTTCCCTATATGTGCGAGTAAAGCTGTACTTGCATATAAAGAAAATGAGAAAAGTTTTAAAAAGCCATTGGAGAAAGCTGTGAGATAATCCATGCTCTAGTTTAAGGCAAGCTAAGTAGATTTGGGCCATTTCTAGCATATATTTACAGAAAACACTCATGCTTGTCTACAAGAGATGCCAAAACTTGTCAGGCTACTTATTTCAGTGCAGAGCTACCATTAGGAGCACCTCACTGGACACTGGGTGGCGTTCAGTCTTAGCTAGGATGTTCCCCTATAAGCCCTCAGTTTTCTACCATGTTATAATAGTTGATATCCTCAAGACAAAAAAAATCAGGATACAAAGATGCTGACCCTCCACAGCTAGTTCATCTTGCAGTGGAAGTACACTCCCAATGTTCAGGCTACAGAGAAGGTGAGACCATCTTGTTTCTTGTTCTGTTCTCTGCACTTCCAAGTTTACCAGTGCAGGTCCTTGTGCATGGTATTGAAAACTGAACTGTATTTCAGAAAGGAGTTCTGTCAGTTAACACTGACATAAAAGCCACACCGCATCCTGACATGGGATCTATTAACATGGTGGCACACTGGGCAAAAGCATTATACCTCATAACAGCTTTGTGACACTCAGTTTTGTCATGGCATAACTACTGTCTCCAGAAACCAAAGAACAGCAAGCCAATGGAACTAGAACATTTGCTGCCTTTAGAAGACTTTTGCTCTTCAGAATAAAAGCAAGAGCTATGAAAGATCCATAGAGCTGACACCACATCACCTAAGAGCTGTGTATAAACTTAGATGTCCTCCTGGAGCCACACAAAACCACAAGCAACAGCAAACTAAGTAGCCTCTGGTATGCCACAGAAAAGGCTAACTTTAAAAAGACAGTGTAACAAAAAGCCCACTGCTTTAAGTGAAAATGCAGAGGCTTTGCCATCTGATGACATTCTAAAACCTCTTAAGCCTTCAGAATCTTGAGATAAACAATTCGCTTTCAACAAATCCTCTAAGTCCCTGAACATGTGATCCTTTCTTCATATTGGAAGTTCAGACTTGCATTATCCCCACTAATCCAGTAAAGAATAGGCACTCTACTGTGTTATTCAGAAGCTTACACATAGAATCATTAACAAATAACTGCTAAGGAACCTCCAATAGGGAGACCAAGCACCTAGAACACGTATCAGAAAGCTAGGTCTTCCAAACACAAGTCCAAAGGCAGGATTGATTACAAAGCATTTTCAAATGTCAAGTTCTTCAGCGGAAATTTATTTTTATCTTGATATAAAAGGTCATATTCTTTTCTCCATTTCAATAATAAACCATCCCATTATTTGCAATAGCATTAGCTACAGAACTCACTGAATTCAGTGAGGCTCAGACTGTTCACCACTGTTCTGTTAGCTGGTCTCCAACACACTCTCCAGCTTTAACCCCATTCTGTGCTGCACTTCAGTTGAGACGAACTGGAACTGCACATGAAATATTTTGTGGGACACAACCCACCAAAACTCTAAAAAAAAAAAAAAAAATAGACAGCAAAAAGGAGCAACAGTACAAACCTGTCGGCTCTTCAGTAAGGCAGGGTCTGCACAGATGGGAGACCTCAGAAGGCCAGACATGCTGTTGGCAACTGAGCAGTTGCCTTTCTTCCTAGTTTCTTACCACCACACAGCTACATAGCCACTCCAGAGGGGCCTTCATGTTTTCAAGCAATGTAGTTCACCTCTTTCATCTTTGAATCTTGCCACTTCTAAAACATTACTGACATTAATCCTCATACATAACCAGTACCTCAATTACTGTCCAGCCACATCTAAACTGCTACCATTAACAAGTGCTACAAAATAGTTTTAGGATTTTAAGTATTTAACTCGCTCAAAAGTTTTGATATGTGAAATACACTTGAAGTTACTGGGTTTGTAAGTCTTTTACATAGGATAAAGAATGCCCTGAAGTACTTATACAGCTGGACAGACAACCAGAGTGCTTAAGCTACAAATGCTGCAGTTAAATGCAGTTTGTGGAAAAGCAAACTGCACACAGAAAATTACTACTAGTAGTGAATAAAGTTTCAACATACCCTGCAGCTTAAAGATAGAAGATATTAACATGAGCAAAGACAGAAAAATCGAAGCAGTCCAAAGGGTTTCCATGATGTTTTATGCTCTAGAAGGACTCAAATGCACACTGGCATCTGTTGAACAAAGTGACTTGCCTAGGAAGAATGCAGGCCAGGCTATAGATAGTTACTAGTCACTTCCACAAGATGCTGCAGACAAACACCTCAAAATTAGGAAGTAGTACACACTGATTTGTGCAACTCACAGTCACTTCTGCAATCTAACAACCACTAACAGAAATAAAGGTGCTAAACTTCTAATCAGAGTAAGGGTTAGCAGACTTGCAAGAGGTGTCACTCTAGCTTTTTTACACATAAAGGAGGGATCAAATTGATCTAAAGGTACTCTTCCATTTTCAGGGTAGCAATCATTTTTCAAAGGATACTGTAGACATGAAGCCCAAGAGGTGAAGTAATGTCTCCCCAGCATACTCCCACTCCTGGTGCACATCCAGCTGACACATTTGTCGTGACCTGTGCTGATAACCCACTCTGATGCCAGGCAGAAGGTAATAGCAGACACTCGATTCTGATGAGCTGTGAGAAGAAAAAGATTTTGTTTTTTTTTTCCCAAAAATCAAAGTGATGTGTTCTTACCTTCTAATTCAGAGAGACAGAGGTTGAGGATGATATCTAAGCAATGTTCAGGAAGATTTTTTTTTTACTATTATACTTGTGACTAGGCTGAATTAAAAGGTTCATATTGGTTCACTTAAGCTATTCAGAAGGCAAATACTAAACAGAACAAACACATCAGACAGCTAATTTAAGCCTTACTCCCTGAGAGAGAGAAGCTGAGTTCAGCCCAGATACTCAAAACACACTGGTTAAGGAACAGGCAAACCCTCAGCTTCCTCTAGTTAGCCCAGGATTTCTGGGGAGTAATGTAAAACATCTGAAAACTTTAATTGCTTTCTTTAAATACCTCTTTTCTTGATCCCGGGGAAGCTACACTCAGATTCCTACTTTTAAGCACCTGAAAGCATATCTAGTCCATGGCACTCAATCTGCCCCCTGTGACAGCAACCAAATCCCACCCAGCTTTGTTTCGAATGGTGCCACTAAGCAAGAAGTTACATGGACATTAGAAAGAAGTCCCCCCCACCCCAAGATGGAAGTACTTCCCTTGACCAAATTGCCAATCATCTCCCTTAGGATAAAGGGAGGTTTTGTTGCTTTAAAAACAAGGTCTTTTTCTCCTAAGCAAGAACATTGCTTCTATCAGTGTCAGGGAGTCATAAGACAAACTACACTTTGTTTGGCTACATAATCTACAGTCTCTAAGAGCTTCCTTCTGGCCTTTCACATTAATATTCCAATTTTAACCAGCAATTGAGTTTTGTATTTCTTTTAAGGATGTCCAGACAAATGCTGAAATTAGCATCTCTATAAATACAAGAACAATTCCTATTTCCCACGTACAGGAAAAATATGATCTTTTTCATGCCTTCTGCCCTCCTAAGATGATAGAGAGGGTAAGGATTCTTACCTTCAGCTAGAAGTAACCAAGCCCAGGGATGACAAAAAGGATGGAAATTGTAAATACCAAAATTCACCTTTAGAAAACTCTTACCCCAACACTCATGTAGTATAACTACTCCAACTGAAGAGCAAAATCTGAACTCACTAGTTCTGGCTCATTATACTTACAGGCTAATGGTGTAGTGAACTTAATGACTGCAACTTGGACTCAGCTGACTGACAGAACATTTATCTTATGGCAGTTATCCCCAACTAAGTGACAGCTATGAGGTCAGTCAGATTTAAAGCATATCTAGACTTGATTAATCTTGACTGTGTCCAGTTTACCAAGCATTTTAGACACCTTCCCTTCACACAAATGTTAGTGTAGACACTGGTTAACAGTTTACCTGGATAGGTCTTCACAAAGTTCATCTTATTAAAGTCCTCAGAAATATGAAACTCCTAAAAGCAAAGTGAAATTGTTAGGAAACATACCACAGTGATATAAACAACACTGATACCCAAAAAGGAGCAGTAGCCTCTCAGGCCAAAGGTTATATAGCAGCAGTATATCTCACCAAAACAGAGCCGTTTTTGAGGCTGGAGCAAAGCACACTGACATATCAACTGTAAATTAAGGTTAACAGAATTTTCAACAGGGAACATCCTTTCAGAACTGAGTTTGCTGAAGGGAGATTACAGGAAAAGATAAGACCTCATTTATCCCCAGCAGAACCAACCAAAACTGTATCTTATAGTATTTAGGATTTACATGTCTGAGACTTCATAATGGATGGGTTTAAGTGAGAGTGTTCTCTATTTGATCCATTAGGCTTATGAAATTTTAGAAGTCTCAACTTACAAGTTTCAGTATTTACCACAGGAATCACCATTCTATGCAGTTCTATGTAGACTATTCACAGCAGTTATCAGTAGAATCACTGTTTATGACACTCATGCATACCCTGACTCCTTATAGGACAGTTATTATTTTGACCTTGTTTTCATAGAGAAAGGAAATCGTTAAAACATCTGAGAGTCACAAGATTCCCCTTCTTTACCAAGAACAGAGCGGAAGAATACAAACCCACTTTCTGTTCTGCTATGTGTATCTGCTCTCCAGGACAAGGACAGCAACTACAGCAAGAGTATAGAAAGAAGGAAGAGATCCCAGAAAGAAAAGAAACAAACCCAGTCTCTTGTAATTTTAGAGCTAGTGTTCAAATTTCCACATCATAAAAAGATCTGCAGAAAACAAATCCATGTGCCATGTGCATGGCAAGATAGAGGCAGATCCATATTCCTGGCCAGAGGCAGTTCATAACCCCTGTTAGTTCTCCACCATGGCACCCTGCCCAGCTTAATGTACTCCCCTTAAAATAATTCCTTGACAAAGTGCAGTTGTTTGGGTCCACTGCTGCACTAATGACTCAGTGACTTCTTGAGGCTATCTGGCTCACATCTAGCCAAAAGAACCCTTGCTTTGCAGTCCTCCCCTGCACAGCTCAGCTGAACTGCCAAGAAGTTCAGCCATATAGTAGTAGCTGCATTCCAAAATGAATGGGAAGAAAACAGATTATTAGCTGCCAGCAACACCTGGAGCTCACAGACAACCTAAGCAATTATAATCTACTTTCTGAAGAAAAGTCACAACAACTTACCATGATAGCTCCATTATCCTGGCCAACAAATATTCGTCTGCTGTCATGATGATAAGCCATGGCAGAACATGGTGCTGTCAAAAAAAGAGCAAGTACATTACAGTGATTTAAATGGAGGTATTAGGATACACATGACTTTTCAGGAAGTCAAATCGTTCACTCAGGGCAAAAGCTACTTAAGTAGCTTGATAGAAATTAGCCTGCACAGATAACATCCCTTGGTAAGATTGTTAAATTCCCACTTGTGAAGCTGAGGATGGGTACATTACTGTAACCCAGATATACTACTACAATTTCCTGCCACAGGGTGCAACTCAGCAAGAGGAATTTTACATAGGCTGAAAGCTGAGCTAGCAGCAACAGCATCTGCAGCTGGTTACACTAAAGAACTTGAGCTCACTAAAATTATCTCACATGGAGCCCTAAAAGATAAAAAAGCACACCTGGGAAAGCACAGAATATTCTTATGCCTGAACTTAGAGCTAGTGGTTTGAAAAGCTCACTTAACTGGTAGACAAGTTATTTGCCAGCACTTGAGGCACCTACAGCTGCAGATCCACCCTGCTGAAGGGTGTGGTTCTGACAGAGCTGCAGTAGACCTTGCCCACTATGCAGCTTGTTTCAAATTGAAATCTGAGCTAGATTTGCTGCAAAGCTCTCAAAATCGAGATGACTGAAGGACTCCAGCACTTGGGGAAATGGGAAGGAGGTATTCCCACACACAGCACAAAACCCATGGTATGCCTGGCCACCACTTACCATCTCCAGTATTGTACTTACATGACATGGTGTGGTAGATGCTGGGCCAGTACTGTCCACTGTCTCTCTTCAGCCACACTCGTATTGTTCTGTGTCATGGAAAGAGCAGGGAGAAACCAGTTGTGAGTGAGTGCATCATCCCTTGCATCTGAACCAGTTCATTACTTATGTATCACCTCCAACCCTCTAAGCTTTTGTGCTACTCAAACATAATTGAGAAATGACATAACAGAAATAACAGCACTCAAATATTACTCTAACTTAACAAGATTAATAGTACTAAGAATAGGCATCCTTGGATTCTGAAGAGTTTTCTTCAAGACTATTTATACACTGAGTTTCAGTAAGTATGAAATGGAAATGCTATTTCAGTTCACCTCAAAATTGCTACATATTGCATTCCTTTAATTCCCCTCCTTGGATCTGGCTGATGCAAGTCAAATTCAAGTTGCAGAAACTTTCTAGCTTTGGCAGTGCAAACACAGCTTGTTTTATAACAGATTAAGTGTCTGATATGTTTTTAAAAAATTGCAAATCATGTCATTATGGAAGTCTGAACTTTTTCATTTTTAGAGCTTCTCTGTACAACTCAGCCTTGAGCAAGCCAGACACTGAATATTAGTAAGAGAGGCACCTAATCCTCCAGACCAGTATATTACTGACATCTCCATCCCCAAGTATTAATTAATGTGTGAATTCTTAGAGGACAACAAATCTAAGTCAGTATTATTTCCACTAAGCCATACCTGTACTCCCTCATGTAGAAATGCAAAGAACAAACAACATTAGCTGCTTTCAGTTTGCATTGCTCCTCTGGCCTAAACATGAACAGGACTGATGAGGCACTCAAATGAAAACTGAAACAAGCGGACAAGATGAGCTGGACAGCATGCTAAGATTCTTTATAAAATTGGTTTTAGTTTGCAACCTTCCAGAATCACCCCTTGGAAGAAAAGGAAAAAGAGTCTTAAGAACATTTAGCATTACACTGCTCTCGTGACTGTCAAATCCCGGGAGAAGGGATATAAGAGACCAGCAAGGAAGTGGAAAGCTATTGTCAATTAAAAACATTCCTACAACAGACACGTTTGAAGGGCCTCTACATCAAGAAGTTAAGAGCACACATGTAGACAGTGCTCAGGTTATTTTAAGTCTACTTGAAATTTCCTCTCCAAACCATTGTTTGCCTTTTTGTTACTGTTTAAATCCAACTTCCTCATTCCTAAATGATCTGTAAATATATGTACCTGGAAACACTGTCAAGAGACTTCATTGAGATGCATTGTTCTATTTACTGTTAGCTAATACAAGGCCTGGTATTTAGAATTTTTTAGAAAAATACTAGGTTGGTTTTTTTTTTTCTAAATATCATATAGGATTGACAGTAAAGAGTTTAACAAAAAGAGCACAGCAGGGGACTGGTATCTTGCATCAAGACTAGAACTTTTCAGGTTGAAGATACAATGGTGGCATTCTAATTTTGCAATCCACTTCAGGGCTTTTGTTTAAAAAACCACTCAAAAATAAAGCAAACAATGCCCACCCTTAATGTACTACTTTTCTAAAACTTGAAATCAATACAGCTGAGTACACACTGCCCCGAAACAATAATTTTCAGCTTTTAAATCAAGTCACTTTTCCACCAGTTCAATGACATATGTCCATTAGTCCAGTCCACTAAATATTTTGCATTAAGACTGTCTCTTAAAAGCTATCACTTCCTCTTTACAAGAATCGACACCCTGCCTTATGTCAGTAAGTTAACACTTCAGAAGAGCATTTGCTATTTCTTGGTAACATGACAATATTGGGAAAAACAATGTTTCCAAATCATTCTTATGATGCAAATGCCAACAGTAGCATGAGTTACCACCTATTTATTTTTATCAGCCTTTAATTTGCTTTGTAAAGCAACTTCACCAGATGGTAGCTTCCACCCTTACTACTGCAGCTCTTTCACTTCTAGCCAAAGTCACGTAATTATTTTCTATATAAGAAGACTACTGGGTTATCATGGTGATTGAGATCACCCATTGCAGATTTTTCACAAGCAGATTTTTCTTCCTCTCAGTATTGCAGTTAATGATACTAAACTAGAGTAAAGGAAGCAAAGAATTGGCTTTTCTAAGAAATTGTTTCTTGGAAGTATAATTTCTGCACTTATCATCAACTTCAGTCCCTCACTGAAGTCAAGAGCCTAAGCAAATAGCTGCAAGTGTTAGCAAAATTAACTTCTGAAAGCTTCTTATTTTAGTTTAAGTAAGATTTAGACTACACTCGCCTCATGCTTGCAAAGATAAGCTGTCAGACAGCTTTATATCTAATTATACAAAGCTCTGACTGAGCAAAATTTGAAGAGATCATTTCACTCAGCAAGTGACCTGTGCCAAAATACCACTTCTCCTCAATTCTCTCTCATACAGTCCTGTTTTTGTGATGCATCTCCTTATGTTAGGACAAATTAGTTTGTGAAATACTAGTTCTTAGCTTAAAGGACTAGAGAAGTCCTCCAGTAATGCTGCTCCCACAATCTCCTTCTACTGCAACATTGCTTTATCGTGAGAACCACCCTAAAGTCTTTAGCACCCTTCTCAAACCTTGGTCTTACTTAATGGAGTGCTCAGTGCCTGAGAAGAGCTGGCTACCACTCACCTTTCCTTCGGCATTTCCTATTAAGGGCCTAGAAAGACACAGGTTGGTTTGACAGCAGTCTCGGTAAGGACGTAAAAATGTTGAAACTCATTAAGGAGCACCCAGAGATAGGAACATACTTTTTAAATTACAGTAGACTCAGACAGCTGAGAGTGGCAGGAGGAAACAAAACAAGACTAAAAATGACCTCCAAACTTCCCTAACATTCAGTATTGAACCAGAAGTTGCTTTCAGCTGGACAGCATGCACATTTATAGAAGAGCCATTCAAAGCAGTTTTTCGGTTGGATTTTTTAATGTAATATAAAGAAACACACACAAAAGCCATCTTCAAGCAATACTGAGTGTGGCCTCACCAATTTCTAAGAATTTTCATTGTTCTTGATTGCTGTTTCTTTTACAAGGTGATTAAGCACCCAATAGTGCTGGAGACAAAGTCTGGGGTTTGAGAGCAGAGAAAATCCCGCATCACAAGTGTCTGTGCTCGTGCTACATAAGCTGCCCTCTAAAAGCCAACTGCACATATGTCAGGGAGTAAGAACTGATGAAAGATTAGCAGGCAAATCCAAACCTGCTACAATACAAGCACTGCTGCAAGTTACTACACAGCTACCCTAGCCCTGTTCCAAGCTCTGCACCTTCCTAACACCTTCAAACCAGCAGCAATTGCTTTCCTATCTGAAATCAATTACCAACAGTTACTAACTAAAACAGTTCTTGTTTTCCTAGCAAGAACAGAAGACTGCATCTTTCTGGTAGTTAAAATAAATCAAAAGTATTTAGACTGATATTGACCTTGTTCCCAAAACAGCATTAGGAGTCTGGTTTAATCACAGTGCAGTGGAATCTCAAGGACACAGCTTGCAGCTGACAGTTTTTATTGAATTTCTGTACACTAAAATGTGTTTTGACCAATATTTAAGTTCCACAACCAAAAACCAGCAAAACCAACAAAACCTAACACTGCAATGTAAGCAGCTGCTGATGGTCACCAAACACCATCACTCAGGTGGGCCAGTGACTCCAGAGATCCTGTTAGCCTGTGGTAAATACATTACCTTCATCTTGCATTTAGGGTCTTGCACACAGCTTATCATCCCTCAGCATTCCCAACTACAGCTGGGAAACATGCACCCAGCCTTAGCTATCTGTCTGCTGAGGGACACACTGCAACAATTCCCAACACTGTCTTGGAGCCAGGGTCAGGCAAGATGCCGACAGGGACACAGAGCTGATTGCCCTTTTTAGATTAGTTCTGAGAAAGCTCCACAGATGGCAAGTATCCTGCTGAAAAATCAGATTGGGAAAACTAACTGTTTGTCTCCTGATGGCATTCTTCTTTCCTTTCTCATCTTCAAAACTTTAAAAAAAACCCTAGACTCTGTGTTGGCATTCACAGATCTACTATGGAACCTCTTGTATTCTCAAAAAAATAGAATTGTTACTTCTCATTCCAGGAAATATAATTTAAAATAGAAAGAACTTACAATTTATGAGAGAATAATCTACAACAATCCTGGAGAATGTTTGTGCACCAATGTCTTCCTCACTACTTAAGTTGTAAACACATTCCTCTGACTGGTTATTATGAAATACTTGACAGCCTCGGCTGCATTAAGGTGCAATAAAAAATACTTTAGCCCTACTCTTAGTGTACACAGCAGCTCTTTTGCTCCTTGTACTCTGTACTTTGCTTGCTGTGAGCAGCATAATCAGTTACACAGCATTAACACCTACACCCCACTTTTGTGAACAAACAGGGCAGTAAGTTTGACAACACGTTAAACTGTAGGTAAAGGATACGTGAGTAGGCTTGATGTACTGTAGGAGGTATCCCAGATTAGAGGTAATAACAGTGCAACAGTTTCTGAAAGTTTAAAGATCTAAGTAAATTCCCACCGCAAGGCAGGTGACATGAATTCTGCTTTGAGTCCACAGCCTCACTTAACATTACACACACCAAACGTGGGCAGCGGCCTCTGCTCTCCTCACACAGCTCTGTGTCTGACATCAAAACTTGCCCAGATAAAGATGCAGCTGCATCCTTGGCTCTTATCAACAGCCTAAACATGCAGGCTGCTGACCTTCAGCATTAGACTCTGAGGTTTAAAGGTTGGCACTGTCTGCCACAGGCAAGGTTCTGCAAGCCTGCACCAAGAAACTCTGTGCAGGTTTAACTCAGATAGGAACTCTTAAAAATTGCTATTTCCTCTTCTCTCCTTCAGGAAGCAACTTGAACTGAACACAGCCCATGCTGGCACCTAAAGCTCAACTTCACCCTGCACAGCCCCAAGATACCAGAACAATCACACGTAAGAGTGGAATAAAAAGGAAGCTGCCCAGTCCCATCCAAAACCCATTATCAAACATGTACTGCACAAAGTCATCTCCGTGGGAAGGGAAGAGACCAACCAATTAGCCATCGATCAACTGGTCTGATTGTGCTTTTTGACCCAAAATAAATGCCAGAAAACTCAGTTCAGATAACACACTCCCGTTTCTCACAAGGTCAGGCTATTCAAATAAGAATTCATGCAAAAATTGATGCAAATTCAGTTTAAAATTATCCCTCCACCAAGCTACACCTCAAAGAGTGCACTTTCTTATTTTTAACATGCTTCTTTAAGACACTGATACCGTTTCTAAACAGGAGCATCTTCTATCCCTCTTAACGTTTAAAACTCACTTTCCACACAGCACGGGGGAAATTCCCTCTCTCACCGCTACGCTGCAGACCCCTCACCACTCTCATTGCCACAACCCCTCTGTGCTACTCGCTTCCTCGTTTCCACTTGCTTTTCATCTGAAGAACTGCTTAATGCCATTACCAGCTGCCGTGGCAGGCGCTTCACAGCTGTGTGAGCCAGTGCTGCGGATCAGGATTAGGCGCTGAAGGCATTTTCCCTTCCAAGCAGAAACCATCCTCCTCAGTTGCTCATCACTCCCTCTCCGCCCCGCTCTGCCACCTGAGCTGCTCCAGCCGGGGCGAAGCAGGTTTGAACCTTCACGGTGAGCCATCGGAGCGGGCTCGCTTCGGCTGGAGCAGCTCGGGGAGCTCCGGCTCTGCCAGCACGGGGGGAAGCAGCGACACACTACAAGCGACCCAGCCGGCGGGGCTGAAGGCCGAGGGAAACACATCCCCACAGTCCTGGTTGTGTCGTACCCTCCGCAGAGCCCATCTGCACACACGGGCGAGCAGGGGCTGCGCAGCACACGAACACAGCGGGCGAGGGAAGGCTGCGGGCTCCGCTGAGCCGCTCCTCCCTCACAGCTGATGGGGCTCCAGTCCCTCCCTGCAACCGCAGCTCCGGCTGTTTCTTATTGCTTTCTATTTCCTTGTGGCTCCAGGCACGGAGTCACGGCCGGGCGCCTCCTGGCACAGTGACATCGCCCACACCGGTATCGCCCACACCGAATTCCCCACAGAGCACCCCCCGCGCCAGCGCCTCTCCTCCGGCCCCCGCCCTCGCCAGCCCCGGCCCCGCGGCCCGGCGGGGAGCAGGCCCCGGCTCACCTGTCCTCGCCGGCCGTGATGACGCCGTCCTCCTTGGGGATGAGGAGCGCGGCGCTCACCGCGTCCTGGTGCCCCTCGACCTTGCTGAGCAGGACGGGCCGCCGGCTCTGCGGCCGCGAGTGGATCTCGGCCGCCATCGCGCCGTAACGCCCCGTGTAGCGGCGCCGGCCCGGGCCGAGGTGCCCCGTGTAGCGGCGCAGCTCAGCCGCGCGCCGATGCCGTCATGGGCCTGGGGCGGGATAAGGCAGAGGGCGTATTCTCTGGAATAGAAGGGCCGCGAGAGGCCGTATTTCGTAGAAAAGCGGAGAAAAGCGATCTGGCTCCGGGCCGGGCTGGCGGTGCGGTCGTGTCCCCTCCGGCAACGCCCGGGAGGACAAGGTGGCCGTGGGCTCAAACACGTGTGTTCGTGGCGTGCGCCGCGGGGCTGGCTGTGCTCTGCCCAGGAAAAGTCATTGCCATGATCTCGGCTCAAGGAGTCATGCCGGCCTGGGGCCACCACAGCACAGCAGAAGAAAGGCTATTTCCCCTGGAGTAATTAACGGAGGGATATGGGCTGAGGAAGGATGTGTAGTCACAGGAAATACATTAGCTGGTTTCTGTCCTTTAAACCAGAAGCAGCTGTAAGCCTTCATCCTTTAAGTCCTTAAGCAGCTGGACTGTGCTGTTACTGTGCCTCTGTGTCCAATGCATGTGAATATTGGCCACATAGCTGGTTAACCAGGGGCAGAATTCCTCCTGGTTTTGTATTTGAACAGTGTGTTATATGTATAAATCATATATATACATATAACACATATATATTTATATATTTATATATATTACATAGCCAACACACTGGGCTTAACTGAAAATCCTAACTGGGAGCTGGATGAAGCTTTTTCAGCTCTGTGTGTCCTGGACAGAACTGTGCCCAAAGAGATGAGCTACAAGATGAGGTGCAGACAAATCTCCCAGAGCACAGTGGTGAGGTTCGTACCATTTGACCAAAGCCATCACAGACCGTGTCCCCCACCTGGAGGCAGGGAGGCTGAATGAGGCTTCCCCAGGCTCCTGGGAGAGGGCAGCAGTCAGGAATTATCTTTACTGCTGACCTGCTCCAAGACCCTGACCTACTCCAAGAGAGGAATTTTGTAGCTAAGAAACCCAGTAAGGGAGATTGGCTAGACAGCAAAGGAAACAGACACAGGAAGAATAGGTCCAGCTTGAAGTTTTTAAGATACTTTTGGTTAAATACACTTTGTTTCACCTCAGCATTTCCCTGTTTCCTTATTTTTTCTCTGTATTTCCAGAGTCCACCTTTCTTCCACCCTTCTTACTTCCTGAGCCCTGCCCACTCCCCATTCGTTCAGTTCATACCTGTGCCATGGTGCTTTGCTTTCTCCAATGTTCCTCTTTTGGTCCAGTTCCTAAACTTAAAACCTGCTTTTTCTCTCCATTTATTCTTCTTTCTCAGCCTATTTTTTCCATCACCACATCTGCACCAGCACCACAATCAAACCCAGCAGCAAGCCAACTCACTCTGCACCACCTCACATCTCCCATGAGGAGACCTCATGTCTCCCATGGTTCTGAAGAGGCTCATCTGTAAGATGAAGGGAAGATATCAGTCCCTGTAACAAGGGACTGACTACATCCACTTCTTCCAGGGTTGTGCAGGCCTTCACCCAGGCTTCACAGGGAGCAGTCACAGGAGGATATATATAGGAAACAGGTCTTTCAAAATAGGTGACTCACTGTGCAGAGCTATCCCAAGAGCCCATCCCAGAGCCTCAGAGGGATGCGGGTGCCTGAATCCTCTTTGAACCTAGGGGAATTAAACAGAAATCTCCTTTTGAGGCTCTCAGTCTCCACACCTACAAACCTTACATTGCTGTACCCTACAGTGTTTTACTGCTCAATACCTGCCCCAGAGCTGAGGTCCAGCACACAGCAGAGCTGCTGGCTCAGCCCACTGCACCCAGGGATGCTGCTGCGTACAAACACTCTTCTGTGGGATCACCTGTAATCATTTACCATTCCTTGTACAAGAACTGCTGTCACCAGAAGCTCCAGGGTTAAATTTCAGATTTTATTGAATGATGTGCTGGTCTATGCTGCCATGAGAACCTGGCCTGAATCCCACTTGTAAGGGGGGACCTGGTGCATGGCAGTCAGGTTTGGTTACCAAGGACAAGAATATTACTCCAGGTCTGGTCTAGCAAATTGGCCCAATTAAGACAACAGGCAAGGACCACATAAGTGAAATACACGGAACAGCTGGATCTAAAAATCCTTCAAACACAATATTTCAGGCCTTGACTATGTTTGCTGTGCTTGCAAACAGCAATACAGCAGTTGGCCCAGTGGACATACCTGCAGTCAGAATTAATAATTCGTGATCCAAGCAGCCACCAAAGGCACCTTGTTGCCCAGTGGTCTATTTTTTTGCTCAGACTTGTACATATCTATTCCTCTGCATTTTAAGCCTGACCTATTTAGCTGCTGCCCATTGTCAGAAGTGAGATTCTGGCTCTCTGCCCAAAGAAGAGAGAGGAAGGCAGTGCTCTCCCTGTACAAAGGCTGCACAGCAGGGACTCCTGCACGGCTCTAGGATGGCATATCCACAGGGAAACGTTTTCAAGAGCAACTATCCAAAAACTTTATTTGATGACTAGTGGTTTTGAACTTTTTTTAACCTTCCTTTCTTATCACATAAGATATTCCCTCCGGCCTCGTCATCTGGTGCTCATCATCCTGCTGACCTTGGCTTGGGAGCGTGGTGGAAACGCATTTTGGCTCGGAGGTACATCCTTCTACCAGCTTTTCCGTGTCCTGGACGGAGTTCCATCTCCCGCGGGAGCAGGGGATGTGAAAACAACTCGTGTTTCCCAGGTCCCGATGCACATCCCGCTCCGAAACTCCAAGGTGAGGGACCAGCCTCTGGACACGGCGCCGTGCGCGCGGCCGGCCGCCAGGGGGCGCTGCCGCAGCGCCGGGATCGGGAATGCGGGACGGGGGGACAACGGGATATGGGGATGTGGGGACATGGGGACGCGGGGATAGAGGAATATGGAGATATGGGGATATAGGGACATGGGGACGCGGGGATAGGGGGATATGGGGATGTAGGGACATGGGGACGCGGGGATAGGGGAATATGGGGACGTAGGGACGTGGGGACAGGGGGATATGGGGATGTAGGGATATGGGGATGCGGGGATAGGGGGATATAGGGACATGGGGATATGGCAATGTAGGGACATGAGGATAGGGGAGTAGGGGGATAAGGAGATGTAGGGACAGGGGGATAGGGGGACAGGGGGACATGGGGATATGAGGAAGGGGGGTTATGGGGATAGAGGGACAGGAGTATGGGCACAGGGGGACGTGGGCATGGGGAACATGAGGATATAGGGATGGGGATATGGGCACAGGGGGACATAGAGACAGGGGGATATGGGGACAAGGAGGGTATGAGGATACAGGGATGAGGAACATAGGGATAGAGGGATATGGGGACAGTGGGAACCTCCTGCTGAAACACTGCCTCCTGGAGAGGCCAGCAGGGCAGGAAAGGCACCTGTTCAACCCCTCTACTTGACCCCAGTGCTTAGAGGACACCCATCAGAGCTCCCAATAGAAAAAATGTAACAGAAAAAAAACCCAAAACAGGACTGGTCAAATTCCATCATTCCCCTTCAGAATGGTTTTATCAGGGAGTTCTTTGGTTGGTGGGTTTTTTTGTTGTTGGTTTTGGTGGGGGGTTTTTTAAGTCCAAGGCAGAGCATTGAAGGTGGCACTGCTTCTCAGAGGGGCACACATGGCCCCAGCCCCCCGAAGCCCAGTGGTGCCTGCTGGGGAGAGCTGGGAGCCAGGAGTTCAGGGGCAGTGTGCAAGAAGGGCCAGAGGTGATGCAAGGCTGTGCTTCCTGCCAGCGAGGCCTGGAGCAGAACAATAGCAGTGTCCTCACCACAACCATTTCAGGAAGGTGGAAGAGCCCAGGATGGTCAGATACAGCAAAAGATACAGCCCTGCCTTCTCCCCTCTCCACCACCTGTTCTGATCCCAAACCAGCCAATGCAAATTAGTCTGGAAGTGAAACAAATGGTGCCTGTGAACCAAGGAGACATACCCAGCCCTTCTGTCTAGGGCAGGGTGGCTCACAGCCAGAGTAATTAACTGATGGCCACAGGCTCCAGGTGCTCAGTGCCCCAAAGAAAATTCATCTGATTCACTCCCTCTATTGCACAAATGCCCTTCAGGAGCTGATACACTTAATTACAGGGAACATGGTGCATTAGGAGCCCAGATCCAGTATTCAAGGGAAATGCCATAAGCTTAGCAGCCAGAAAAGGCTTGGGGATGCTAATCCTTGGGTCAGGGTTGATTGTGCATTGGCAGTATGGTGGAATGGAAATGACACAATGGTAATGCATAATGCATGCTACATGCACTCCAGACAGGGTCCAACCTTCCAGACTGTAACAGCTATCATCAACATGGCCTTGAAAGCAAAAATTAACAACCCTGGTAATTCCAGCATGAGCTGAAGGACAGAGAGGACTGAAGGCAGCACAGCACTGAGGGGGTTGCCCCTGCTGTGAGGACAGGTGGATGTGGCAGCATCTACCCAACATGACTCCATCCTTACCACAGAAAATTGTCATTGAGTAAGTGAACAGTGCCCACCTGGCCCTAGCTGCAGGCCCAGCAATCCGACGGCAAGGAGAGCTGCAGTTTGTCACCAGCACCATCCTCTTGGGGAGGAGGGCAACTGCATCACCCCCTGCAACTTCTACCTTTAGGGTCCTCTCGTGCTTTTAAGAGGTACTTGTGTCCTTCTGGGTGTCACATCCGACATAGACTCCTGGCACCACAGTAATAATGGAAATTATTAGTGTTAGACAAGTTTCAACCACTGCATTACTACTAAATACATGCAGTTAAACTCCATTGGTGGGGCTAAGCTAAAGGGCTTTTACTTTCTTTGAAGCACAAGGGAGAGTTTATAAAATGTTGCTTACAAAAGAGGTATTTCAATTTCTCTTTTTCATCTTTATTAACTCTCACTGCTGCTGGGAAGCAATGCAGCCATGTTTTTAATGGAGAGGCTGCAGTCAGAAGAGGGCTGCCAGCAGGGAATGTGCTGTGATGCCAAGGGGTGCACAGCAGTTATCCCTTTACATGGGCTGAGGAACTGGCCCTTCCCTACACTTTCCATTCTGTCCAGCAAA